AAAATATAAGTTTATGAGATTTCTAAATTATTCCATTCTTTTTTTACTCAAAATTTGTACAGTGTCCCAACTTTTTTGGAATCGGGTTTGTAAAACATCAACTGTGGTCCCCTATATTATTACAGGATGTCTTCAAGTCAAGAAGTTTCATGAAAGCAAACATCTAAAGCGTGCGTCCCAAACACTGCGTCTCAGTGTTTGCTGCTGTCTCTGACAGTTTGAGAATATTTAATTGAATTTTTTTCACGTCTAGTACGGACAAATTCATACAACATAATGTAAAAACGCTTGTCTGGGTGAGTATCCTAGTAAACTTAGATGGTTTTATCTCAACTGCACGTAGACAGTATATTCAGATGGGATCCGTGCAGTCAGTCATAAAGAGGCAGCAGTCAGTTTTTGATGACATTTCACGAGATATGAGGCATCGTTTTAAGTGCTCGTGGCCAGATCCTATCCTCTTTTTTCTCCGCCGTACGAGACCAATGTTTTGATGACTTATTGAAATATTGTGGAAAGAAAACACTGGATAATTTTATCCGCATCTGTATCCATTGAATTTCGTGCTGTTTTGCTTAATTTCCCGGTTCAGAACCATCAAAACGTCTGCATTTGGTAGTTTCAGCAGTGTATAGTGTGAATGCAAAAATCGGATATGGGTCACTTTTAAAAGATGATGTAAGCACGTCGTCAAAAAAATCGTATATAGTCAGAAAATCGGATTTGGGCATCAAGACCTGCAGTGTAAATGCAGCCTAATAAACCTGCTGCTGTGTTTTAATGTTATTCAAACAATAAAGGACAAATAAATGTCTCTCTGCTCTAGACTGACACCCTTTTTAACTTTGAATATTCATCACTGTATAAATTGAATATAGAAGGATATTTACTGAGTTATTTCACATTTGATTACTTTATTCAAATTTCTGTACCTGAAAACGTGTCAGGTTACGACTGTAACCCGACTCCTCTATAAATAAACTCCGCAGCTAGGGTCCTTACATACACAAAGAAATCTTCCCACATTACTCCGATTTTACGCAGACTTCATTGGCTACCGGTACGTTTTTGTAGTAGCTACAAGATTCTCCTTATCACATTTAAAGCACACTTCACACACTTCGATCCTCGGATACTGGTCTTTTAAAGATTCCACGGCACAAACTATCATCATTTGGTGGAAGGGCTTTTTGTACTGCTGCCCCAACTCTCTGAAAGTCTATTCCCCAACACATCCGCGACCTCTCATTACACGATTTCAAAACTCACCTTAAAGCAACCTTGAGAACTCTGAAAGGCGCTATATAAAATAAACATATTATTATTTATTATTATTAAATACGCAGCACAACAGACTTGTGGATTTATTGGAGGAGGTTAAACAGCTGGCCTCCAAAACATTGAAAAGTATAAACGGATTTTGAAGCTTGAACGGAAGGTGGACGAACTGGAGCACTACTCCTGGAGGAATGACTTGAATGGGAAAGAAGGGTGATTTAAGCAATTTTGAGCGTGCCATGGTTGTTGGTGCCAGATGGGCCGGTCTGAGTATTTCACAATCTGCTCAGTTACTGGGATTTTCACACACAACCATTTCTAGGGTTTACAAAGAATGGTGTGAATAGGGAAAAACATCCAGTATGCGGCAGTCCTGTGGGCGAAAATGCCTTGTTGATGCTAGAGGTCAGAGGAGAATGGGCCGACTGATTCAAGCTGATAGAAGAGCACCTTTGACTGAAATAACCACTCGTTACAACCGAGGTATGCAGCAAAGCATTTGTGAAGAAGACACAACACACACAACCTTGAGGCGGATGGGCTACGACAGCAGAAGACCCCACCGGGTACCACTCATCGAGGCTACAATTTGCAAGAGCTCACCAAAATTGGACAGTTGAAGACTGGAAAAATGTTGCCTGGTCTGATGAGTCTCGATTTCTGTTGAGACATTCAGATGGTAGAGTCAGAATTTGGCGTAACAGAATGAGAACATGGATCCATCATGCCTTGTTACCACTGTGCAGGCTGGTGGTGGTGGTGTAATGGTGTGGGGGATGTTTTCTTGGCACACTTTAGGCCCCTTAGTGCCAATTGGGCATCATTTCAATGCCACAGCCTACCTGAGCATTGTTTCTGACCATGTCCATCCCTTTATGGCCACCATGTCCCCATCCTCTGATGGCTACTTCCAGCAGGAGAATGCACCATGTCACAAAGCTGGAATCATTTCAAATTGGTTTCTTGAACATGACAATGAGTTGACTGTACTAAAATGGCCCCCACAGTCACTCACCAGATCTCAACCCAATAGAGCATCTTTGGGATGTGGTGGAACGGGAGCTTCGTGCCCTGGATGTGCATCCCACTAATCTCCATCAACTGCAAGATGCTATCCTATCAATATGGGCCAACATTTCTAAAGAATGCTTTCAGCACCTTGTTAAATCAATGCCTCATAGAATTAAGGCAGTTCTGAAGGCCAAAGGGGGTCAAACACAGTATTAGTGTGGTGTTCCTAATAATCCTTTAGGTGAGAGAGACACAGACAGAGCCTATAATAAGTTTTTAGAAATATTCACAACTTTACATGATAAGCACTGCCCCATTTTAGTTCTCTAAAGTCTAAATGTCCCTGGATGACTAAAGGCCTAGAAAATGCATGTAAAAAGAAAAATAATCTACATAAATTATTCATTAAATCGAAAACAAAAGAAGCTGAGAAGTATAAGTTATACAAAAATAAGTTAACTGTTGTTAATTGTTGTAATTGTTAATTGTGACAATTAAAAGATTAATATATGGAGATTTACTTGAAAGAAGGGAGGATAGTAACAGTATCATGGATGCACCAATTACAATGGAAGACATGAGAAGGGCAATAAAAGGATCTGGATTAACATCTCCAGGTAAGGATGATATCTGTTATGTAATGATAGAACATCTAGGTGTTTTAACGTCTACAAAGTTGCTAGGGTTTTATAATAAAGTATGGGATTTAGGGAAATTGCCAGCTAGGTGAAAAGAAGCAGTAATTATTCCTATCAGGATTTGTAAATGTATAATTCGTAGCCTGATTTATATAACATTTAAAATCAATTGCTGTGTCCGAAATCTCCACTCAAACCACTACTCCCTACCCCCTATGTTGGGGGTAGAGAGCAGAGCACTATACGCCTTATTCACGGCAGCGCCATCTTTGATTTTTAATGAGAATGAAAGCGAGGCTGTGAGGGATAGACTTGCATCTCTTCAATGGGCTGTACTGTTATTTAATGTGTTTTCGGATTGTTCTGCTCATGAAACACTGGAAAAATATCTTTCCAAAAAAATGTCAGTTGACAAAAAACTCCTGACAATGTACAAGCTGTGGAAAATTGTAAGTAATCTAGCCGCTTTATTCAGCTTTTTACAGCGGATGCCATTGGAAACACGGTAAGTCTATCCCTCACAGCCTCACTTTCATACCTGTCATGGCGCTGCTCTGTATAAGGTCTATATAGTGAGCTCACTAGCATAATAGAAACACCACATTCGGACACTACTCGATCGTCTCTCGGCGCCTTTGATTACATCATCCGTCAGCTGGTGCCGAGCCGGCCCTTGGCTAAATAGATTTTTAAAAATAAATAAATTACATTTTATTGAGCTTATTTCTCCAAAATTTAAAAACTAAAAGTGATTTCTGGCAGTTTTTGTTATAATGCGCGACTCCACACATGATTATAACTTATTTTTACGATCGGTGCAATGCATGATGGTATGTAGGGCTTAGGTTGTTAGTGACCATCGGTTGTACACTACTTTTCAAAATGCATTCTGGGATACATTGAGTTGACTATATAGGGTATAATAATCTTCACTATACATTTGGACAGCACTACAAAATGGCGAGCTCACTATATAGTCCACTATATAGTGAGTAATGGGTGATTTTGGACACAGCAAATGAAAATCATTTTTTAAGGCTATTGACAGTATATTCTGATTTACAGGATAACAAAAGTAGACATCCACAAATCCCTCAGTAATTTTAAGAAAGAGCAGTATATGACGGTACGTGACAAACCAAAATGTATTGTTTGTTCAGAATTGGGTGTAGTAAAGGAGTAAATTACCACAATTTTGAGAGATGTGTAAGATCGCGATGAACTGTCAGCTTTTTAGAAATTATTATGGGAGCACACTTTGCACACATTCAGGCCAAATCATACACTCAGTAGCCTGCTTGTTTTATGCTATAATAGTGGTTATGTGTTAATGCTTTAATAACAAATAATTTATCAGGAGCATTTATGCTGATGTGTATGGTGGCGACACGTAGGCTAACTTGAAAGTATTTGAAGGTACAGAAAAAAAAGTCTTTTTACGGGCGGGAGCGGAACAGTACATAAATGTTACGGGAGAAAGTAACACAGAAAGTAGTTGAGAACGTCATTTATAATAATGACCCACGTATTAAAAAATAGTCGGGTTTATGTCGGCCTCTGGCTCATAATTACAGTTCATGTGTCGGCCGGGCCGGGCTCGGACACAACAGGCTTGGGTAGGGTCGGGCTTGACTTTTGGGCCACACTTACAGTTGAACACACTTAGTTATTTTCTGCTATTGGTATGAAAACTTTTTCTCTCAAACATGTTTTTTCTCTCAGATCATTTATTTTCTCACATGTAATAAAGACACAATCCTAGCTCCATAGACAATAACTTTATTATACAGCTTCCATAAAGTCAAAATAATCTGTTAATTTAATATTCTATTATCACTGTAAAGCTGCTTTGAAACAATCTTGTTAAAAGCACTATATAAATGAAGGTGACTTGACTTGTCATACATCTCAACTCTGAAAATATGGACATCTGTATAAATATGGGGAAAAAATCCCATTCCTGCAAATGTTGTTTTGTCTCTTGTTCTGGCATTCCATAAGAGCAGATGCCACATTCTGTGACTAAATCATTTATTGTGAAAGTATTTCATTAATTATTTAACAAATATTTACCGCAGTATCTCCAGCTGACAGTCTGGGCTCTTCAGTCCATCAGAAAGAAGCTTCACTCCTGAATCCTGCAGGTCATTGTTACTCAGGTCCAGCTCTCTTAGGAAGGAGTTTGAGGTTTGAAGAACTGAAGACAAACTCTTACAACACTGAGCAGTGAGATTGCAGCTATGTAGCCTGTGAAGAGAAGAAAACAGCAGTAATGCAATAGTAATGTTTATTAGGTAGGGTTTATAATAATTTGGAAAAACATTTGACTGAAGGGATGTAAGCAAAAGGGATGCACCGATATCACCGGTATCGGACAGATACTGCGCTCGTGTACTCATACTCCAAAAAATGATCCGATACCAAAAACTGATACCAGGAAGCATGCAACACTACAGAATAAAGGCCCTTACACACCGGGACGAATATCAGCGCGCGTTATTCGTCAGCGCTTTTCAACGCGTTTTTTGTGTTCACACCCAAGCGATCAAAATCAACTGTGGTTCCCTACATTAATACTAATGTATCTAAATACCTACTGATGTTTTCAAGTCAAGAAGTTTCATGAAAGCAAACATCTAAAGCGTGCGTCCCAAACAATGCATCTCAGTGTTTTGCTGCTGTCTCTGACAGTTTGCAAATATTTAATTGATTCTCTGTCACGTCTAGTACGGACAAATTCATACAACATTATGTAAAACGCTTGTCTTGGTGAGTATCCTAGTAAACTTAGATGGTTTTATCTCAACTGCACGTAGACAGTATATTCAGATGGGATCTGTGCACTCGGTCATAAAGAGGCAGCAGTCTAATAAACCTGCTGCTGTGTTTTAATGTTATTCAAACAATAAAGGACAAATAAATCATACACTGCTCTAGACTGAAACTCTTTTTAACTTTGTAAATATCATTCTAAATTCAATTTAATTTGTAGCCTTTCTTTATTCTATTTGCGCTATTATTAATTTAATTGAAATTTTCTTATTTTATTATTGACTGCTTGTCTTTAATAATGTTTTACATTTACATTAATTTGGCAAGTAGTTTTTGCTGTAGTATTAAAATCGTAATAGAGAATTGTTATATTTCACTGTTATCTATTTGAACCACTGACCCAATCCTCAGCACTGAAGCTTGAGCTGCTCTATATATATGATGTACTATTAAATGATAGATACAATGTGATAGAACAATAGAAAGAACAGTGAGCGTAACAGAAGCTCATTCAGTACAATTTAACAGGCTTAAGCATGAAAATAACTGAAAGAAATATATATTTGTTGAAAAAATAAGCAAACTAATATGATTTTTATTCTTTTGGTTTCTCTTCTACCTAGTACATTTAAAAATGACATATTCAGTATCTGTCACAATTATGTTTTATCTTGTCTGGATCTGTTCTTGTTAGTCATTGATTAGTTAACCTTCATCCACTGTATCTGGTGAGTTCCCTCTTTTACCCAGTGCTGAACTCACCGTTCAGTTCAGTCCTACGTCGGTTATTGTTTGTGTCTATTTTAACACACTGTTGGGTCCTGTTCCCCTGCTTGTGTACATTAAAGCTTTGTTTTCGTTTGGAATCAGGCTTCGTCTGTCTGCTTCATCAACCAGCATGACAGTATCTAGTGGTGGACAGATCGAGGCTTTGTGAAACACTAAAACAGTTATAGCAAATGTACCATATTGTGTCAAGGCTTCGAAACAATCCGACACCTGTCTCCACGGGGACCCACAGTGGTCAGAACAGTGTAAATGCAACAAAAACCCGGGCCAAACATGCATAAAAAACCCTTTTACAAATCTATTGCAAATGTTTTATTGAAAGTACAATCTTTTAAACGTAATTATATAATCATTTAATAAGATTATCAAGTGTATGTTCTTTTATCAATTGTTGGGGTTTGTTTTGTTAGTTCTATGAATGGCTGAGCTAAACAGGCCAATAAGACTATTAACTACCATTATTCATTTTAATTATACTAATGTCTAATTAAATAGTGTACAAATGTACCCAGAGACACTTTTTCAAAAGGTTCTCAGTGACTCCTCATGATCATGGGTTGACAGAGATCATTGCCCCCAGCGGTGAACCATTGACATTACGAAGTGTTTCGAAACAGTTATGACGTAATAACTCGTTTACTCGTTAACCATTGATTCGGAACAAACGATTTGTAAAGGCTTCGAAGCTTTGAAGCAGTGTTTTGAAATTGCCATCACTAACAGTATCTGTATTGGTACTCTGTATCTGCAAGTACCAAAAATGAAAGTATCTATGTATCTGACTTTTTCTGGAAAAAGTGGTATCGTGGATTTCTAGTAAGCAAATTTAAAAAATATTATCTTCTTTATAAAATAACGTCTCAGGTTACGTCTGTAACCATAGTTCCCTGAGAAGGGAACGAGACGATGCGTCACTGTTACGCTTTTGGGAACGCCTCCAGCGTGACTGCGTCTGAAGCATCTATGTCAACTAGTCCAATAGGAAACATGACCGTCATGGGCGGATGACGTCATGACCAGGAAATGATAAAAGAGCACCCGGTGCAAAACGGCATTAGCTTCAGAAATTGCCGAAGCAAGCCGATACAGGGATGCAGGAAGTATGGCAGGGTGACGCATCGTCTCGTTCCCTTCTCAGGGAACTATGGTTAAAGACGTAACCTGAGACGTTCCCTATCGAGGGAACTCGCGATGCGTCACTGTTACGCTTTTGGGAACGAGAATACCCAAATCGCCAGACTTTCAAATGCCTGAGTGTCAGCCTGTTGTCACACCACCCTAAGCATTATTAAGCACATGTGAACCTGGGGCAGCCTCCAGGTCCAGGCTATAAAACCTGACAAATGTGAGAGGAGAGGACCAACCCGCCGCATCACAAACATCTTGTAGAGAGACTCCAGATAAGAGAGCTTTAGAAGCCGCCATACTCCTAGTAGAATGGGCCCTGACCGCCAAAGGGCAAGGCAGGCCAGAAGACTCATAAGCCAGAGAAATAGCCTCAACTATCCACTTGCTAACTGTCTGCTTTGACGCAGGAAGACCCCTATTGGGAGATCCAAAGCAGACAAATAACTGATCAGATCTCCTAAAAGCAGAAGTCCGATGCACATAAGTGTCCAGTGCTCGCACTGGGCATAAAAGGTTCAATCTTTCCTGGTCCGGAGAAAAAAACGGTGGAGGACAAAAAGCCTGTAGCACAATAGGCCTCGGAATCATGGTGGGCACCTTAGGCACATAGCCTTGTTTAGGGTATAAGAATGCCTTGACCATCCCTGGTGCAAATTCAAGGCATGTAGGGGAAACCAAAAGGGCCTGAAGGTCACCGACTCTCTTAAGGGATGAAATAGCTAACAGAAACACTGTTTTAAAAGTGAGATTTCTCTGAAACCAAATCCAAGGGCTCAAAGAGAACCCCAGATAAGCCTTTAAGAACAGTAGCCAGATCCCAAGCCGGCACCCTAGTACGAGTTGCAGGCCTCAGCCTCAGTGTGCCACGGAGGAAACGTGTAATCAAGGGGTCTCGACCGAGGGAAGTACCCCCCACTAGGGCGTGGAGAGCCACAATGGCTGCCACGTAAACCTTGAGCGTGGAAGGACATAGACCTGACGAGAAACGCTCTTGTAGAAACTCGAGAACTGTGTTGACTGAACAATTAATCGGGTCCCACTGGCGTTGGCGACACCAGGAAGTAAACACTTTCCATTTAAGTGCGTAAAGTTTCCTCGTAGCCGGAGCTCTGGAGCTTAAAATGGTCTCAGCTACTTCCGCTGACAGACCACTACTCATGAGTTGGGCCCCCTCAGAGGCCACACCCATAGTTTCCAAATCTCTGGCTGGCGGTGAAATATCGTGCCCCCTGCCTGAGACAGAAGGTCTCTCCTGATGGGCAACTCCAGGGGAGGCCTGTCGAGAAGATGAATGAGGTCCGCAAACCAAATACGACTTGGCCAGCGTGGTGCTACTAGCAATAGACTTATCCCATCCTGGCGGATTCTCTCCAGAACTCCTGGGAGCAGAGCTACAGGGGGAAAGGCATACAGACGCAGCCTCGGCCATGCCTGAACCATAGTATCCAGCCCCAGGGGGGCTGGTTGAGTGAGGGAGAACCAAAGAGGACAGTGCGTCGTGTGCTCAGACACAAACAGATCCACTTCCACCTGGCCATACACCTTCCTAATCTGCTCCACCACCTCGGGGTGGAGCCTCCATTCCCCCGGCCTCAGCCTCTGCCTCGACAGTGTGTCTGCTCCTACATTCTGGGCCCCTGGAATTTATACTGCCCTCAGTGAGAGCAATTTCCCTAGGGACCACAGGAGGATCTGGGGCCTCATGTACAAAGACTTGCGTTGAATTCATACTAAAACATAGCGTACGATCAAAGCTGTAAATGTGCGTACGCACAAAAAAAATCAGATGTATGAATGTCTGCGTACGAAGGATCCCACGCATATTCTCTTTGTACATCCCAATTAACGTAAAATTGAGCGCACATGCACGAGCACAACGCCCCACCCAGTCTCCTCCCTCAATTAAATTAATTTAAATATGGTAATAGTCCAATTTGGCAAAAGAAACCTGCAAGGAAATGGCTAAAGAAACCTGCAAGAAATGAAATTCCACTGAAAATGTTTTCTATGTGAATATATGTGAAAGTGTAATTTATTCCTGTGATCAAAGCTGAATTTTCAGCATCATTACTCGTCTTCAGTGTCACGTGATCCTTCGGAAATCACTCTAATATGATGATTTGATGATCAAGAAACATTTATGATTATTATCAGTGTTGAAAACAGCTGTGCTTCTGCTTCATATTTTCATGGAAACCGTGATATAGTATTTTCAGGATTCTTTAATGAATAAAAACTTAAATCAAACACATATAGAAATCTTATAATCGTTTTTAACATTATAAATGCATGTACACTTTTAAACAAATTCAATATGTCCTGGCTGAATAAAAATATATATATATATTTTTTTTACCTTTACTGACCGAAATAATGAAGTTTATTTTTTATTTCCTATAGTAAAGCCAACGCTGCCATTGCTAGACGGGTTTGCACATGCTTTATGTTCTTACTTTATTGCACAATAGAATATTTTAATAAGACTCGTGTGACATAATTTGTAATTGATACATTATTTGACATATCATTAAGCAATATCTGACAGCTGGTGGTGCGATAGAACAATTCGTAGAGTAATGTTTGCCACTACACCTTATTGCCTCTAGGAGTCGCCAACGGACAAATCAAGGCAAATGTACGTACGCCAGACATGAAGTTTACTTGGAGGAACGCACATTCTTCCGTTAATTTCACTGTTAGTACATCTGGCCGTGAACGTGAAAGCTGGCGTACGCCGTGTTTTTGTACGTACGCAGTGTTGATACATGAGGCCCCTGGTGCGCCAGTTTGCACAGTGGACGCGAACGCAGACCCCCCTGTCGATTTAAATAAGCGACCACTGATGTGTTGTCTGTCCGGACAAGCACATGATGGCCCCTCAGATCTGGGAGGAAATATCTCAAAGCCTTGAAGACAGCCATCATCTCCAGGCAATTTATGTGCCAGGAGAGATGATGACTCCTCCACAGACCCTGAGCTGAACGGCCTTCCATTACCGCTCCCCAGCCGGTGAGGGAAGCATCTGTCGAGATAGCTACTCGATGGCAAAGAGCTCCCAAGACCGGACCCTGGGACAGGAACCAGTGTTTCCTCCATATAATCAAGGCGTGGAGACACCGCCGTGTGATCTTGATCATACGAAGTGGGTTCCCCCTTGGGGAGAACCCTCTGGTCCTGAGCCCCCACTGCAGAGGTCTCATGTACAACAGGCCAAAAGGTATCACGTTGGACGCTGCTGCCAAGAGATCTAACAGTCTCTCGAACTGTCCTAGCTTTAGCTCCTTTGTGGCGGAAAGGATAGCAGCTACACGAGCGGGCGACAGCGTGGCTCGCATCGTGACTGAATCCCATACCACACCAAGAAAAGTGGTTCTCTGTACTGGAGAAAGCACACTCTTCTTGGCGTTGAGCCTCAACCCCAATTTCTGCATATGTGCGAGAACGACACCTCAGTGTCGAACCGCTAACTGTTCTGACTCTGCTAGAATCAGCCAGTCGTCTATGTAGTTCAGAATGCGTATGCCCTGCAGCCTGAGCGGGGCCAGAGCTGCATCTACGCACTTCGTGAACGTGCGGGGTGATAAAGCTAGACCGAATGGAAGTACCCGATATTGGTATTCTTTGCCCCCAAAAGAAAACCTCAGGAACCTCCTGTGCTGAGGGAGGATGGAGATATGGAAGTACGCGTCTTTCAAATCTATCGTGACGAACCAGTCCTCGGATCTGATTTGAGTCACAATCTGCTTGAGTGTCAGCATCTTGAACTTGAGTTTCTGAACTGAGCGATTCAATAGACGAAGATCTAAAATGGGACGCAACCCTCCATCCTTTTTTGGAACAATGAAATAGCGGCTGTAAAAACCCGATTCCCTGTCGGGTGGATACACCTGCTCTATAGCTTCTTTCGCTAATAAAGCCTTCACTTCTTGCTCCATCACCAGAGCCTGCTCGGGTGTACCAACGTGGGCAGCACCCCGTTGAAACGTGGAGGACGAGAACCGAACTGGATTCTGTATCCTCTCTCTATCATCTGCAGGACCCAACGAGAAATATTTGGCAGATTCCTCCATTCTGTCAGAAATTCTACTAGGGGAACCAGCCTCTCGAGGCTGGCCTCTGATGTATTTAAAACACCCAGCCCGGGGGCCTGGAACATAACGGTAGAAACCAACCGGACTGACTGTTTTTGAACCCCCCTCAGAAGGTTCCCGTCCGACGCAATGTCGAGTTCTCTGGCGACCACTGCGCCCCGAAGCACAAAGGGTGGGCAGAATTGTCCCCTGAGGACCCCGAAATGAACCAGGCACCGTATACTGAGGTGTACATCGGTTCACTTCGGTTGGGGCCGTCCTCACTGGTCTGACACCCGTGGCGTCAGGACCTTTTCTTTTGCGCCGAAGCCTTCTTAGCCTGAAGAACGGTCCTCAGATCCGGCTTCGACTTCGAAGGCTTTGGCTGAGAGTGTTTCGTCTGCCTCCAGTGTTTTTGCGGAGGAGCACGAGACGCAACACCTTCTTTTTGTTGCGCACGACATGATGAGCTTGACGGCTGGGGCTGCTCACGCCCAGCAGCCCCAGGGGGTTGGACACGGCGAGGGAGAAATTTTTTAAATGCCTCGGACTGTTTTTTAGCTTCCTGAAATCTCTCGACGACCTCATCAACAGCGTCGCCGAAGAGACCATCAGGATTAACCGGGGCATTTAAATGGAAGGAACGATCTCGGTCCTTTAAATCAGTCAAATTCAACCACAGATGTCTCTCAGTGGCCACCAGGGCTGCCATAGACCGCCCAATTTTTAATGGTTTAGTGGGTAAAGCTGAGGCCTTCAGAGACGATACCGAACCGGGTGACAGATAGCTCGCGAGTGTCTGTTCAGCCCGGGGCCTCGCCTCATAGTCGTACTCTTTCAGCCCCCTTATACCCGAATAAATATGAACTTGAGGGCTGAAAATACGTGCAGAGTACGGCTTATTCCATGTTCTTGATATCTCATTATGTAAATCGGGAAAGAATGGAAGGCCTCGTTGTGGAAGTGAAACACTAGATGAAAGAAAACGCTCGTCAAGTTTGCTTTTAGGACGCGCGTCCTCTCTTACAGCTGGCCAATCAATATGTAATTTTTCAACCGCTCTAGTAATCACTTCCACCAACTCATCATATGCGGGAGAAACAGATGGCGAGTCTTTTTCTTCCGTGTGTGTGCTTAAACTGTCGATGCTCAGTACATCTACCTCCTCGGAGCTAGAGCACTGAAGCATCGGGCTCTCTCCCCGGGCAGAAGGAACCGCAGCGCGGGCTTCTGACACCGGAGCGAGAGCACTGGATCGTTCAGAAAAGGAAGGCGATAAGGCCACAGGACCCGTCTCCAACCCCTCTGAAAGATCCTTTTGCGATCCCCAGGAATGCATTCTCCGCGCTGCCTCGGCAGACGCGGGTCCTGCACCCTGAGGATCGCGAGCCTGGCCGCTCTCATCAAACAGCGCCAGGCGGGAGCAAAGCATAGAGATTCTCGCAGTGTTGGCAGTCAGCCTCCTCGAAGGCTGACACCGCATGCTCCACTCCCAAACAAATGACACAAAGCTCGTGAGTATCCCCACCCGTTAAATAGTGCGGGCAGGGAGAAGCACAAAGCCTGAACATTTGTTTCGCCATAATTCCGTTTCCAATAATAATCACAGACAACAGTAAATAAGACAGACAGAGACACAGATCGCTTGCTGAGGCAACAGAAGTTAATGCCGGTTTGCACCGGGTGCTCTTTTATAATTTCCTGGTCATGACGTCATCCGCCCATGACGGTCATGTTTCCTATTGGACTAGTTGACATAGATGCTTCAGACGCAGTCACGCTGGAGGCGTTCCCAAAAGCGTAACAGTGACGCATCGCGAGTTCCCTCGATAGGGAACCGGTATTTTCAGTTTTTTTTAAATACAATTTTATTTTTAATTTATTTATTTGCCTGATGAGTGTGTTCAAAGTATTCCAAGTATGTCCATGAGGCAAGTTGGGTCAGGCATTTAATATCATCACGCAAATTGATACATTTAGTTTTTTAAATTTTTCAGAAAAGTTTCACCCAGCAAATCACCTGTGTAAGATTAAGGCCCAATTAAAATCACTAACAGTCAGTGTGTATCAGTGATTGTAAAGTAGACTCTTACAGTGCTCTTCTGGTGTTTTTGATTACTGGCAGTAGTCTCATCACTGCTTCATCAGATTTTCTGTATTTCTGCAGTTCAAACATCTCTTGAGCCTCTTCTGACATCAGGAGCACAAACACCAGACCAGACCACTGAGCAGAGGAGAGATTCTGTGCTGAAAGATTTCCTGAGCTCAGGTATTTCTGGATTTCCCCCTCAAGGTCATCTTTCAGTTCACTCAGACAGTAGAAGAGATTGATGGTCCTCTCTACTGATTTCTCCTTTTCTATTTTCTTTTTGATATAGTCAACAGTGTCTTTAACGTTCTCTGATTTGAGTTCCAGTCCTGGCAGTAGTTCCTTCAGGTCACTCTGATTGGACTCCAGTGAGAGACCCAGGAGAAACCGAAGGAAAAGGTCCAGGTGTCCGTTCTTGCTTTCTAAAGCCTTGTTGATTGCAGCCTTATGAAGCTGAAACAGTGACTTTTTGGAGAGTTTCTCTGTCATTTTTTGCCAGAATGGAAAAAATGGGTTTGCTTTCTTGTCTTTGTTGTTAAAAAACACATAAAGAGCTGCAAGGAATTCTTGTACGCTGAGATGTACGAAGCTGTAAACACTTCTGGCTGAAACCTTTTCCTTCTGAAAGATCTGAGTGCATAACCCAGAGAACACTGACCCTTCACTGACATCGAGTCCACACTTCTCAAGATCTTCTTTGTAGAAAATCAGTTGACCTTTCTCCAGCTGTTGAAAGGCCAGTTTGCCAAGCTTCAGAATAATCTCATCAAAAGACCTGACTTTGGCTTTAGGTTTTGGCACATCACAGTATTTTTCTTCCATCTTTTGCATCTGAGAAATTAAGAAGCTTATGTACATCCCTGTGAGAGTTGTGGGAGTTTTGTCATTGGTCTTTTGAGTCTGAAGAACAGTGAGAGAGATCCAGCAGAAGACGGGGATATGGCACATGATGTACAGACTCCTGAATTTCTTGATGTGACTGATGATATTTCGAGCAACCTCAGAAATGCTGTTTTTGATGAAGTATTGCTCTTTCTGCTCATCGTTAAATCCTCGCACCTCTGTCAGCTGATCAATGTATCTTCGGGGTATCAGACTGGCTGCTGCTGGTCTGGAAGTGATCCAGATGAGAGCAGAGGGAACCAGATGTCTCTTTATAAGACTTGTAACTATCTTACTCACTGTTGTTTTTTTGTGAACATCTGTAAATCTGCCACCATCTGTAAAGCTCAAAGGGAAGCGCCATTCATCCAGTCCATCAAAAATGAACAAGACCTTCCTGTCACCTTTAGGAAGAGAGGGCAGTTCTTTAGGATCACTAAAGAAGTGTTCGTGCAGCATTTCCATGAGGCTGCAGTTCTCTGTAATCAGGTTTAGCTCACGGAATGGAAGAGGAAAAATTAAGGTTATATCCTGATTTTCTTTTCCATCAACCCAGTCGAGGATGAATTTATAGACAGAGACAGTTTTTCCCACCCCTGCGATCCCCATCGTCAGTACCTTTGAGTTTTGTTTAAACATGTCATTACATTTGACTTGAGTCTCCTTGGCAGTCGGTCGGTTGTGAGAGTCGATCTGTATCACCTCGTGCTCGTTCACTCTTCCTCCAGTCTCATTCTCCACCACATATAAATCAGTGTAGATATCGTTCAGGTTTTTCTGATGACCCGTCTGTGAATTACCAACCAATATCCGCCTGTAGTCCAGTTTTAATTTGTCTTTCAGTCTGCAGCTGGTCTCTGTGTAATCATGAAGAGTAGCTTGTCTGTTATCTTCAGCTGAGCCTTTAAAAAAAAGAGAAGAAAAGACAGCAAAGACTAAATGATCATGTTTTTCTTAAATTCTTAATAAAACCTATGTGTAATTTGTAACCTGGTCTGCAGTTCCCATAACACAAATAACTACAGAATGTAGTGAATTTCTGCTATATTCAAATGAATCACACTTATACTGCAATTGTGTTTACATGCTCATCTTACACTGATTTAGGGGTGACCCCGAATAGTCAAAGATTCGATGCTTCGATAGGAGGAGCCAGATTCGACTACCAATCTCACGGTCGAATCTTTGCAGAGGTGTAATGAAACGAGGATCATGCCACTTTGGGTATATGAGTGTGCTCAATGTCTGATTTCACATAGAACTACCAGTTTTCTGTCATATACAGCCTATTGTGATAATGCTGTAAATAAAAATGTAAATGCAAAGAAAGAAGCTTTTAGCGTGCGTGAATTAATCCAACCACCCCTGTGACCGATTTAAGTTTCACTTTCGATCCGTGACCGACAAAGGAGAGTCTTGTCGGCAGAGATTTAAATCTTTAAAAATGTCTGGGATAAGAAAATATAAAGTGTGGATGTACACCATCAGAAAGAATATTCTCCAAGGCTGGATTTAGCATCAGGAAACCATGATTGCACTTCTGCCGGCCAACGTTAAGAAGTTGGTTTTCCTCAGGACATTCTAAAATGCTTAACGTGAAAAAAGCTTTTAAAATGCTTAAAGGGCACTCTTATGCATGTATTAAGAAACCAAACTATGTGCAGATAAGCAGATGAACCCAGAATATGAACGCAATGCGTTTCTCCTATAGAAAGTCACGTAGCGTTTTCTTTATAATAATGGTTTTCTAAGCGAGAAAAATGCTTAACGTGTAATTAAACGTGTTGCGTTCATATTCTGGGCTCATCTGCTTTTCTGTAGACTATATAGTATGCTTTATTAATAAGGTGTGTACAGAATTTGATCTTTAAATATAACTGTCTAATGCTACGTTCACACCAGACGCGAATAGAGCGTCAAATTCGTGCCTACCGCATCTAGTTATACGCTTGAACAGTTTGAATACATTCGATCCATCCGTTGGCGTCCATCTTTTTACACGGTGGCTGATGTTGATCGAGCATTCATCGAAAGAGTCACCGCTCTGTATTTGCTCTGGAGAGCAGAACAGCGGCGTAGGAATCATCTTCATTTATTTGTACTAGGTTACTAGGTTATCCTACTACGTACTAGGTTAGCCTCCAGTGGACCCTTCAGAGGCTAACCTAGTTTGGTAAGTTTCACCACTCGCTCCAGGAGCTGCGCCTGGATGACGGCCGTTGTCAGCGGTATTCCACCTGTGCCGTGCCCAGTTTGATGACCTGCTGTCTCGCGTTGGAGTGAGGATCACCCTCGCCCTCACTCACCTAATCCGTCATTTTTGTTTTGATGATAAATTGAGCCAGCCTCTAAAAGTGATTAATCAGTCCTGTGATTTTTTTCTCATAAAACACTGTCCATACACAAATTATGTTCTTATGCATTATGTGCAAATGATTTTATTTTTTTGCTTTTTGTGCATTCAAGCGCTTGTGGCGCGAATTCGCGCCTGCCGCTCGAGTTGAAAAATTTGAATTTTGCGTCAATTCGCACTGCCTTAACCAATCAGGAGCCTGCTTGCTGCAATCACATGGTAAAGTGATGTGATAAATGGGGACAGGCCCGCTTTTCAGTTTATAATATTATTTTATATGTTTGGCATCAATAAATTATTTTATACGTTTGGCCTCAATAGATTATTTTGTATGTTTGGCCTTAATAACTTATTTTGTAATTTGACAATGCCTGGTGAGGTTCTAATGCACAACAAAGCAAATATTTTATCACATAATTGATTTCAATATATGAGACATATTCATTTTGTATTGAATGCAATTTTTTCTGTTTCTTATTACTTGAAACATTATTATTCTAATGTAAAGACAACTAACATGCTCTCTAGAGCAAAAACAGAGCGGATTTCACTCTTGACGCGCGAATGTATTCAAACCGTTCAAGCGTATAACTAGACGCGGTAGGTGCGAATCTGACGCTCTATTCGCGGCTGGTGTGAACACACATTAAGCCATTAAACATTTTTCACGTTAAGCGTTTTAGAATGTATTTTATCCGCGCGCTCAATTTGAAAAGACTCAAACGGACACAGGCCGAGTGAAAGACTGGGTTTGTTTCTCGATCAGGTATGGGTACAAGTGATTTCAAAACATTTCAGACGGATTAATCTAACTTTCAAGCGAGGAACCATTAGCACATTGGTTACTGCCTTGAATTATATGCATGGCACACTTTTAGATATGAATTGTTAAACTATACTTTGTCACGAAATGAAGTTTTAAAAAGTGAAAGGGTCAGAGAGATACTTATTTAGTAACACACTACTAAGGCTATCTCTTCAACAATTTCGAACAGCTCTCATATTAACAACTATCCAAACTGTTATAGACCTAAAATAGCTTTTGTAGCCCTATGTCACTCTTAAATGACAAATTGTGTTGATAAATGATAAAATGATTTTAGTTGATCATTATGAAAATTATTTTCATTACATGAATACAGTGACCAAAATGATCACATACACAGAATCTTGTTCAAAAAGCCTAATACACAATGAAATCAATTCACGAAGTTAATAACATTAAAGATTGGTTTTAAAGGAGTGTCTTTCATCTTACCTACTAAACTTTAAAAAAAGGTTAACACAAAAAAGGTTTTATAAAAAGATAAACCTCATATTTCTGTATTTAAATCATCTCTATAAAAAGAATGAGTCAATAAAGATACATTCCTGACATTTATAATGCACAGTAGCTTATCTTTTATTATTAATAGTAAAATTCGGACCGATTTTCCCATAGCTGACGTTGCTATTCAACCATGCACTGAGCTCTCCACAACGACAAAGAAGTTTTAGTAGCTAATGTATTTCCCACCACAGAAAAACGCTTGCTGTAGCTCTGCTAAAAGATTTCTTTACGGAGAAGAGAAAAACACCCAAGTATTTGGGTGCACGTGCACTCCCATACTGAAGTTTATGAACGCGCTTCCCGTGAGTCCATAGGCTACGTTCACACTGCAGGGCTTAATGCTCAATTCCGATTTTTTGAAAAAATTCGATTTTTTTGCAAGGCCGTTCACATTTCCAATTAAACTGTCCTTTTGTGATCTCCTGTGTGAACGTGAACGTGAACGTGAAATGACCCAGAAGTGACCCGCATGTGCAGAAGAGTACTCGACGGTCAACGACTTAACTTGTTGTTTGCGGAAGTAGCTAAATGGATGTCTTACAGTGGAGCTCGTTTAGCAATATTAAAGTTATTTTCACAACAGAGCTAGCACATATACAATCTTCTCGTTTTAAGAAGAAAATTAAACAGAGAAACGTGTGGGTGTGGAGTCGCAGCCAGGAGTGGATACTGATGTGAGTGGCTTCAATGATACAGAATCCATCAGTATCTGTGTCGTTCAGACTGTCATGAAAAGATCAGATACAGGTCGCATAGGGGCAAAAAAATCGAAAAAAGGTCGTTTCAGCCTGCAGTGTGAACGTAGCCATAATAAGCATGCTTCCCGTGCGCCTATTTGAAATAACAACCTTGAGCGCGCAAAAGACACGATACGTGAACTAATCAGGAGACCCCCTTGACATCGCTTCTGTGCATGGCACCTTCTCAGCAAGCAGGGGCGCCATTGCCAATAATTGAATCGAAATGATAAAAAATAGAAAACCTTCGCGGCACAGAGGATTTTTTTAACTGCTCGTGCCGCCCCCCATGTGACATGAAGAAATGTCGCCCGTGCCTAGAACCGCTACTGGCGTTTACTGTTGTTTCTGCAGTTAAAAATAATTTTATTTATTGATCACTCAGGGTTATCTAATTTAACTATTTGTGGCTTGTGTTTTGAATATATGTTCCCCTGTACTTCAGGCATTTTGCACACATTTGTTCTCTATCTTGTCACTTGATTCTGACTTATTTCATTCTGTATTTATTTATTAGAATGGTATATTCTGTTCTAATTTAATTCTGTAAATTAATTGTTTATTTTTTCGGTGCATCAATGTTGCGCTCTGTACTTACAGCCTGCTCGTACAGGCAATTTAGCCGATTTAATTGATTGTATGTGAAACGCAAATCATGTCTGCACTGTGGCCTTTCTGCAGTTATTTATGTTATTTCTTAGTTTTATTGATCCGAAATGTTTTTATACATTTTTCTTCTATATCTTTGTGTGATGTTCTGTACATTGTCGCTTTAAAATGTTAAAGGTCCGCCCCTACCCCCACACACATGATTCGACTATTAGTCGACTATAGGCAGCTATTGACTACTTGGAGCCAGTTCTCATCCCAAAGCGCCATATACGACGCTTTTGCAAAAGCGTTAATATCCAACGCACATGGCACCCTTTAACGTCAAATGATATGCAGATATATTTGGGCAGAAGGCGCCCCCTAGTGGTCTAACCCTAACCCTACACCATACCTAAACTTAACCATAACCGAAGCGTCTCATTAGACGTTAAAGGGTGCCATGTGCGTTGGATATTTACGCTTTTGCAAAAGCGTCGTATATGGCGCTTTGGGATGAGAATGCGTTGCTACTTGACGATTCTGATTCGACTATGAAAATCCTTAGTCAGGGACACCCCTACACTGATTATGCATATGGTGATGGAAACACCTTGACCTATGCTTACTTGAATGAAAGTGGTTTTAATTTTAACATTTCTAAATAACTTTCTTTTTTCTTCCAGAGTATTTATTGGATTGTCACTATTGGACTAATTAAAAGCTTAAACATTGATACCTAGACATTAGACTTTATTAGGGTTAGGTAAGGGTTATTGAAATGAGCCTTTGCATGTACAAGTTGCTTGCAGAAGTTTTGCAGAAGGTTTTTAGTAGGGTTGCACGATATATCGAAAAATTATCGTTATTGCGATAATAGTATATGCGATATCCGTATCGCAGAGAGGTGCGATAAATTACATTTATTTTATGTGCTAAGCATTTGTGTGTTGCATGCATGCATAGGTTGTTTATCCAAAATCGACCAATCAAATGGGGCCTTACTATCTTTATACCTGCTTCCCCAGTAGATGCTATTATGCTATTGGCTAGACCGGGCCCAAAGGGGAACCTTGTGGCTCAGAGCAGAAAGTGAAAAAATAAAAACTAATAGCGGGAGTAGAGACAAGTGAGGAAAATGACAACAGCGAAGAACCTGTCCCTAAAAAGAACTATACGTCTGAAATATAGCAATATTTTGGCTTCAATAGAGAAGAAGTGTCACAAATGCAGGAACTGTGTAAGGGGCCGTTCACATATCGCGTCTAAAAATGCCTAGAAAGCGCAGCCGCATCGATATCTCCTTCTTTCCACAAGCGCTTGCGTCTGTCATTGCTATGCAACCATGAACTGCGCTGAGGGCTTTCCATGATGACGAACAAGTATCAGCAAAAGATTAATTGATTTCTACCCCTTGCATTAGCTTTACTTCTAGATATATTTATGGAGATGGTCGTGGAAAAATGTGCTTCGATTTTGAGGGTGTTTGCCGCACGCCTGCACTTAAAATAACAAATTTGCAAGCACAAAAAAACCGCTATGTGAACGTATGTGACAGTGTCACCAAGTCGTGTGGAAAAATTGTGGCCACTTCGAGAGGAAATGAATCTCCACAGTCATCTGAAACGCAACCTCAGGGAGCTAAATGAAGACACTTTTTCAAAAAGTGTAAACCCACATCTACCAAAACTGCTAACGAAATGCCAAGTAACAACAACAGAGATATTCTACTGAAGATCACAAGAATATCTTTTAAGGCTACCTGTTTATTTCAATATCATCATTACATATATATATATATATATATTTTTTTTTTTAAGGCTTAGTAAAAATAGCATTTCTTTGGTAAATGTTATATCGCAAGAAATATCGTTATTGCAATACTCAACAACAATATTGCATATTTTCCCAGTATCGTGCAGCTCTAGTTTTTAGAACATTGTAAACCATTTAACCATTTGTAAAATCAGACATTGTTCTATTAAATATACCTGTATACAATCTACTGCTATTCTTCTTGGCCCTATAATTGTTGCTTGCTGCTATATTTCCTTGTTTCCATGTACAGGCGGTGATTGTTATTTACACCAAATCTCTTTTGAAAGAGCTCCAACAGCGGAAGATATTGCCTGTCACTTACATTGAAGTCACAATAAATTAAACATTACCTTGCTTGCATTTGTTCTCCAGCTGCTCAGCGAGATCATTCTGGGTTATCTTCCTCAGGATCTCCACTGTGATCTTCACTGCTTCTTCTGGCCCGAAACACTCCACCATCTTATCCACAGTTTTCAACCTATCTGCATTCTCCATTTCAGACTTTGATATACACTCATGATCATTTTCTAAGGTCCACTGAAACTCCTTTAGATGATCTTCTGTCAGGTCCTTCAGCGAGTTCAGAAGCTGCTCTTTAACAGACGCCATCGCCACTCACAGATTCACAGCTGCAGGACAAAAAGAAAAATATCTGAAGTAGTTTCACTCCTAACATTTGGATCTAAGCACTCAAATGTTATTTGGATTATGAAATGAAGCTGTGATTGAATCTGGACTCTCATTGAACTCATGCAAACTTTTTTGTTGAAGAAGTCCTATAATGCTCTTTTTTACAAGTGACATAATAACACAAGATAATATGAGTCTCGGGTGTCCCATGGAACGGTTCTGTGAAGTTTCAGCTCAAAATACCCCAGGTCAATTATTATGCTCTTCTGTAAATGACCATTTTTGAGTGGAAGCAAAATTATGATGTTTTTGTGTGTGTCTCCTTAAATACAAATGAGCTGCTGCTCCCCACCCCCTTTTCCAGAAGTGGGCAGAGCAATAAACAAATCATCTGTTTGGTCTTGATCATCATCTCTGTCGTGGTCATAATGAAATGTTTGTTCTTTCCATTTGATTAAAAAAGCCCTGGCAATTTAAAGGGTATTTAAACCCCTGGTCAGAGCCTGACTCCACCCACTGGCAATATTTGAAAAATGCTGGAAAAGTGGGCAGAGCCCAGCGGAAGGGGACGTGCACCTGAGACGCATCTCTTTGTATGGAACTTGCCTACGTCACCAACAACCGCTGTGTCACATATTACCGCAAACATCCAATAGGAAAATTCAACTGCAGTAGCCACTGTTCAACCTGAAGAGGGCAGCACTAAGACGTTTTTACACCATATATTGTAGAAATAGAACACTTTATAAACAAATGCCAAAAAAGTTACTCGAATCAATGACTGGTATTAATAAAGATCCATTCTTACAGATCATTAACTACAAAAGTTGGTTAAGTGTTTAGTTACTCTTTAAGCTTCTGATATATGGTTTTCTGAGCGCAAATTCACAAAACCACAATTGGTTATGTCTCTGAACATAATCAGCTGGGAATTAAATCACATATCAGTAGATTAGATCTGTGAAACAGCATTTCTTGGACTCTGCAACAACACACTACTAATGCAACTCAAGGCCCTGTATACCTTGGGCGGGAATTATTTAAATGAGGATGTGATGAGGTTTAAGGGAGTTCAGAAACAGTCCACACTGATATAGAGAATAACTCCAGCTGGTTCACAGCATTTCTGAGTGTTCTCCCTGTTTCTACACTCAAAAAAAATATTTTTTTTATTTTTGATGTCGGTTGATAATGTGTTATTACGACAGAATGCACGATTGTAAGCCTAAATGAGATGGCCGCGCCATAAACTGTATTAAACAGCATAAAACGAACAGGTAACTGTTAACTTAACCGATCTATCCATTTGCATCAGTGTTGTTAGAAAATATATTAGCCAACAATTGTATTATATTGGTTGAACGTTATGTATTTATGGCCTGATTGCTCTATTTTAAGCCTAGATGGCCGCGCCATCAACTGAATTAAACGGCAAGCAAACAGGTAACTTTTCTTGAATGAGCTCTGCCCCGCAGGTTGCTCTGTGATTGGGACACCTCGAACGGCTCGCCGAGGTGACGGCCTTGCTGTTGTGTATCGAGACAGTTTTTTATGCAGAGGAATCCACTGTGAAACATTTTCCTCGTTTGAGTCACAGATGATTAAGGTCGGTTCTGTTAACATATTTTATTGTGTGTTAATTCACCGTCCTCCTGGCCCTGCAGGTAAGTAAGTAAGTACATTTATTTGTCCTCGTGAGGAAATTTGTTTGCATAGCAATCAAGTAGGCATTTCAACATACATACGACATACATCATATACACACACAAAAATAAATAAATAAAAGAAAAAATACAAAGACACATACTACTACACTTAGCCCATAATTCCACATACCCTCCACTTATTAACTACCTATTTGATTTAAGCAATACCAGACCAGCTGAGTATCCTATACCTATTTAACTTAGCTATTTAAAAGCTTAATTGCTTGAGGCACAAATGAAGACTTTGATCTATTTTTAGTGAATAGAGGGAGGCAGTACCGTCGCCTAGAAGGCAGTAGTTCGAATGAAGAGGCAAGAGGGTGCCTCTTGTCTCCCACAATGGTTTTTGCCTTGTTCATTACTCTTTCCCTGTAAATGCATTCCACACTTGGTAACGTGATCCCTAATAGTTTACTGGCCAGTGTTACTGTTTTCCTTACAGACTTCTTCTGTGCCTCAGTAGCATTTCCAAACCAGCAGATGATGCAGAAGGCCAACACACTTTCAATAAAAGAAGAATAAAACATCTGAAGCATTTTGTTGTGAACATTAAAAGATGACAATTTCTTTAAAAAGTACATTCTTTGTTGAGTCTTAGTACTGATGAGGTCAGACCACAGATCCCATTTAAGCTTATGGTCAATCACTATGCCAAGATATTTATAATTTGTAACCGATTGTATAGCCTCCCCGTTAATAAAAGTTAAATTTGATGATTGTGTCATTCTAAAATCAATGGACATTTCTTTTGTTTTTGTGGTGTTTAGAAGGAGGCTTGACTTTTCACACCAATTTAAGAAATAGTCAAGAACTGGCCCATGATCCTCCTCATCATCATACAGTAGACTCAACAAAGCAGTATCGTCTGCATACTTAATAAGGTGCCTGTTTGGTAAAGTGCTGGTACAAGAATTCGTATATAAATAAACAATAAAGGAGATAAAACACATCCCTGAGGAGAGCCTGTGCAAGTAGACATCTTGACCGAGAGAGAAGTTCCTGTCCTGACCTGCTGGATTCTACAACTAAGAAAATCAACAATCCAAAAAATCAAGCCAGGTTCAAGTGAAAATTCTGAGGCCAGTCTATCCGCCAAAATACTGGGCTGGATAGTATTAAAGGCCGAGGAAAAGTCCACAAATAAAATCTTAGCGTGGGTCTTTGGTTTCTCAAGGTGAGTGTGCAATAAGTGCAATAGTGTCCCAATGGCATCTTCTACTCCCCTGGAGGCCTGATAGGCGAATTGCAAGGGGTCCAAGAGATGCTGAGTTTCAGATACAATGTACCTCTTTACTAACTGCTCGAAGCACTTCATGACCAGCGACGTTAGTGCAATTGGTCGATAGTCATTTGGTCCAGTGGGTCGCTGAGTTTTTGGCACTGGTATAATTATGGATGTTTTCCATAGTGTTGGGACCTTGTGAAGGTTAAAAGAAGATCTAAAAAGGTCAGTGAACACTGGTGCTAGCTGTTCAGCACAATGTTTTATGACCCTTCCACATATGTTGTCTGGTCCTGAGCTTTTCCGAGAATTACATTTCCTAAAAAGCTGAAGGACTTCTGATTCCTTGATGGTGAAGTTAGATGAGAGAGGGAGACGAGGGAGTGGAAGGGGTAACCCAGTGGTTGCTTCCATACTATTTCCCCTCTCGAAACGACAAAAGAATGTATTTAGCTGGTTTGCCAGATCAGGTTCATCACTCTGCAAAACCAGTGGAGAATTTCCCCTGCCCTTGTGTGGAACATTGGTCATAATTTTAATTCCTTGCCATGCCTCTCTAGGATTACCAGATGCCAGAGTGGCCTCTATCTTTTGTTTATAGCTATACTTATCCAGCTGTATTTGTCGTTTAATCTGCCTCTGTGAGTCCCTTCTCGCTGTTTCATCCTGATTTCTAAAAGCTTTTTCTTTTTAATTATAAGATTCTTTAGTTTGTTTGACACCCATGGCTTGTCATTAGGAAATACTTTAAAAGACTTAGTAGGTATCACAGAATCTACACAAAAGTTAATATAATCAGACACTGCTACAACATGATCATTAATATCAGGGCTCTTAAAGACATCCCATGCTGTACAGTCAAAACACCCTGCAGAGCCATAATGCTGTCATTGTTCCACACTTTGACAGACCTTTTTTGAGGCTTCTACCTCTCCAGTAGCCTCTTATAGACAGGCCGAAGATGAACCACAGTGTGATCAGACGCCCCTAGTGGTGGTAGCTGGGATGCTGTGTAGGCGTCTTTGACGGTTCCATAACACATGTCTAAAGACTTATTTTTCCTAGTAAAACACTTAACATACTGATAGTATGTGCGTAGATGTTTTTTAAGGGAACAGTTATTAAAATCTCCCAGGATGAACTTAGGAGCATCAGGTGAAAGTAACTCCAGATTCTGTGAGAGGTTAAAAAGAGTCTCTGATGCTTTGTTGACATTTGCCTTTGGGTGTATATATACCACTGTAAGGAAAATTTGAGGAAACTCCCTTGGCAGATAGAAGGGTCGCAGAGAAACACACAGCAGCTCGATATCAGGAGTACAAAGTTTCTCTCTCACCGTAACTGCCCGGCACCACTCGTCCCTGATGAGGAAACAGACTCCGCCTCCGCGAGCCTTTCCGGTGATGTTGGGGTCTCGGTCGGTCCTAAACGCCGAGAAACCTGAAGGTTCCACCTCACTGGACGCGATGTTACTATCCAGCCAAGTCTCAGTGATTGCCAAGACACACGCGCTCCTATACTCGTACAGGAAGCGGGTGTTAGCCGATAACTCCTCTGTCTTCGCTCTCAGTGATTGCGCGTTGATAAGCAGTGTAGTAGGTAAAGGGAGTTTGTTTTTCATCCTCTTCAGTCGAAATCGAATACCACTCTTACGGCCACGTTTACGTTTCGACCGATTATTCCCTTCCTTAGGATTGGATTTGAGACAGTTCGGTATCAAGTCCACAGTAGTTAAATAGTCCGGGGGGATGTGATTGCGGAGCAGCAATAGGAATTCTCTGCTGTATCGTATTTCACAGGGTTTGCCGCCGCCAGCAGCATTGTCGAAGTTGCTTCCTTGAGCAAAGTATGTGTTTAAAATCATAACAAGCAGTCCAATCACATACCATAAAACAAGATCCATGTTGTGGCAAACAAACAGACAAACAAAACAAATGCCTAACGTGAAAGCAGCGAGGCAGCCACAGAGCAGCGCCAAAAGGTAGGCCTCGCCAAAAGGTTCGCCTCTGTTACGAAGCTGGAGACGAGATGAGATCCATGTGCAGCTTTATTTAGAATCATCAAACAGGCA